GTAATGTTCCTGGAATAGTGTATTTATAATCTGAAAAATATTTTTTAATCAAGCATTTAGGATTAAATATAGTAATAGAAAAAAGAAAAATGAATTAATAAGCCAAATATATATGCCTACATCTATTTATCTAGATGAACGGTGACTGTAGATTTTCATTGCAGTACAGACAGTTTCTGACTTATGATAATTAGATTCATAATTTTTAAACTTACAAAGGTGCAAAAGCAACATGAATTCAGCAGAAACCATATTTCAAATTTTGAATATCAATCTTTTCCCAGGCTAGTAATGTGCTAGGTATGATACTCTTCTGATGCTGAGCAATAGCAGTAAGCCAGTTCCTAGTCTTCACCCAATCAGAAGGGTAAACAATTGATCTCTACAGTGCACTGTGTTGCCAGAGCATTTTGGGTATAGTGTTTTGTGCTTTTGTATCCATCAGTCCAGGAGATGCCCATCTGTGTCTCCCGCTTCTGGTTAGAAGAGGAGGAGGAGGCAATGACTCTTGAGATGAAACTCAAGATAACTGCCCAACTGTAGGCTAATGTAAATGTTTGGAGCACATTCAAGGTAGGCTAGGCTAAGCTGTTATGTTCGGTAGGTTAGATGTATTAAATGCATTTTCAACTTGCAATATTTTCAAATTGTGATTGGCTTATGAGGATGTAACACCATCATAAGTCGAGGAGCTTCTGTATAATTGCAATTAAAATTATAAAATAATCAATACAATAACAATAATATGCACTTACTTTAATGATATTTATAAAATAATCAATAACTATATTAGTCTGAAATTTGAAATCATATCTACAAGCCCAGTGTAGTATGAAAAACATCCAATTTGTTCAAGAGAATTCAAATAACCATTGGAGACTTTAAAATAACTGTTTCAATAAATATTTTATTTTTCAATGAGTTTTTTTGATGTCATGTAGGCATAGATTAAAATTTTTCTATTCACGTTTAATCTGAATTTAATACTACTTACAGTGTCTTTACATTGGATTATCAGTGATTACCAAAAAATATAACTAACTATTCCTGATATATTACTTATGTATCTTTCCATGAAAATCTTTCAAAGACAGCAGTTAAATATATCTTAGTTTTTATTATATATTTAAATAAAGGTTAGAACTAAAGAAAATAACAGCTTCTCTTTTCAAATGCAAATTATAATATAAAATAACTTGTATAATATATTCACTCAGGCAGGGAGTGCATCTTTGAAAAGTATATAGCATGGATTGCCTTTACTCCTTAAAATATCTGTAGAATTTTTAGAAAGATCACAGACATTCTATGTTGATTTCTTACATAAAATAAATCCAAATTGGTTTCTGTATTAGCTTATTTTACTGGAGATACTTTCTTCTTTGTCTTTGGTATTTAACAATAATTCTTGGTGTTCTTGGCTTGCATTTGCATCACTCCAATCTCTGCCTTCATCATCATATGATGTTCTTCCCTCTGTCTTTCCTCTGTGTATCTGTCTCTCTCCAAATGTCTTTGGCTTTGTAAGGATACCAGTCATAGAATTTACAGCCCATGTCAATTCAGTATGATAACATCTTAATCTGATTACATTCTTTATAAATATGGATAGTGCTGACATTATATTCATCAAAACTTAAAATTTTTAAAGGCATTATATTTTACATAGTTTATTAACAGAGAATTAAATTTTCTTTGAGAAATAAATGACTGTCAGATTTTGGGAAAATCAATAGTAAGTGTGAATTTATAATATGTCATTTTAATTTTAAACATGAAAGTTGAATAGTGAAAAAAATAACAATGGACCGGTAATTAAAAGATAGTAATGTGAGTCTTGGGGCTGTTGCTATCTAGCTTTGTAACTTCTGTTTTGATCCCAGAATTCTTTTATCTAGACTTCCGTTATAAATTAGGTTTTGAAACTTTATATGTTGAATCTATAGGTATATCACATTGTTATCTATTTTCTTAGAATCAATTGTTTTTTTAAGCAAACAATTTTAACTGAGTTCACTCTCTACTATGCAATGCATTCATTAATTATATTGGAGAAGTTCATGAAAACAAAATAATGAAATAATGCATCTTTAATTTATGTACAACACATTATGGAATATGAAAAGAAACATTTTCTTTTTGGAACCATTTTCAGAAACAAAATAATTCCATTGTTTTCAGAATCTGACTAAGTTGTAGAATAGTAAGGTACTTAATTATACTTAATTTAGATACGCTAAAATGTATTTTAAGCAATTTTTCCTATTGATTTTGCCTAGTGTTATCATTTGCATTGACACATTGCCAATAGATTTCATGCATTTTCAAAATAGACAAAAATAGAAAATATATGGTGAAATAATTACTGATAAAATCAGGAATCTATTGCTAATGGATGAAGGGAATAATTATTCTTTTGTTTTTTGAACTTCTTTGTAATGACCAGATACTTTTTTTCCCATTTTGTAGACACTGCTACCATATTATACAGATAAGCAGGAGTCTAGGTAAAGTGCCTGTGTAAATATTTTACTAAAAAGGCCAGAGTACTCACTGTTTTCTGGGGTTGGTCATGCCTGCATTGCTAGGAGAATAAGATTTTGAACTTTCTTCCATAGGGCTGCTATCCCTTAAGAGGAAATAGATGTATACTGGTGAAGGATATGGAAAAAAAGTTCCCTTTCTTAATTTTTTTTAGAAAAAAAAAACACACACATTTAAAGAAAAAAAAAATTTCCAACGTGGTTCTAATAACTGTATTATCTTTTATAATTGCAGCTTCATTTACTTTGGTCATTTTTCCTGTCAAAATATAGATGATTGGTAGGGATAAAGCTTGGGTGTGATTGATATTGGCCACTATAACTTATTCTTTAATCTCATCTTTCTAGTTGCATTAGCTAAAAGCAGTTTACAAGTACAATGTGCACAGTGAGGTAAATAGCACTGGATACTGTTATACACATTGAGAGGGCCAAAGGCTTTCAAGTGGAGTGGGGAGGTGAGACCAAAAGCAGGAGCACATTGGAAACAAATGCCTCTGATCTAATTATGTCACTTTGGGTCAATCCTCATTATCCATTACTGGAAAACTGTAAAGCATACGACATTTATCATTTTCCTATCTTATCTTCTTTTTGGAACACACTGATTACTTAATTTGGTTTAAAATGCTACAGATATTCTCAGAATCAATGTATGATTACACCTTAAAATGGAAAAGAGGCAAGTTTATCCCCAAAGCATAATGTGTCAACATAGTTCAGAAGAGTAAAAGAAGGAATTTAAATCTTACTCACTTAGAAAATGATATATCTTTAACTTGGAAATTCTCCAAGAGAAAGCTAGATGAAACTCTAAATAAATGGAAGGAAATAGTGCAGAATACAGAAAAAGTCAAGCATTTTAAACATCAAAATCAAAATATAATGTAAAACATTAGAAAAGAAAACATGTAATCCTTGGGAAAAATATATACATTTCTTCAACAACTCACAGTGGAGAGAAGATAATATAATAAGAATTATTACAGAACTATAAAACATATTTCTCATATTGTATTTTAATGCTCTCAAGTTTATAACCAATGAATTCAATAACAGGCCATTAAAAACATGTTGGCAAACTTACATGGGCCAGTGAGGGAGAATGTGGGTGTCCTGTTAACATAATTTTTCATCTCACTGAAGCAGCACACATCTGTGTGTGCAGCTACCTTACTTTCACATTCCTTAGATCTAGATAGAAGGGTAATCTCCTGAAGGTAAGAACGGTTGCATTACAGACATGCTGACAACTGTCAAAGTCAGCAGCCATACAAACAGAGAGTTTTAAATAAGGTGTTTTTTGTTGGAGCTTAGTAAATTGGATGCCAGAGAATATTATGAAGTACATATTTTAAGAAGTCTCCTATTCCCAACATGCTGAAAATTATTCCTTAGAGAACTGATGGTAAGTTCACTATTACTTCACTCTAATTTTTAAAAAAGTAAACAGTATATAATTTATTCAATAGCCTTGATATAATAAATAAAATTAAGTTAGACTTTTACAAATTGTAAATTTATAAAATATGACTTTTATTTCCAATGTCATTATTTAAAAAGCATAAAAAGAGGTAAATTACAAAATTATACACATACACATACACACATTGTCGATATATGTGTATATATTTAGTGTACAATCAGTATAGAAGAGTAAAGGAGGCACTGGCAGAAAGAAATATTATTATGGAATAATAATTAAAGAAGTAAATTTACTACTTAGATCTTAAACATAGAACTGAAGGAGGCTACTATACTGTGCTGTTACAAGTTCATATTTACTTTTTGAACTTATCTCTTTCTCTGGTTATACTCACTTTAAAAATTTTTGTACTAGTAAGTCTTAGGTTTTGGTGTGAATTATGGGAATACTCAGCACAACACTGTTATAAATATAATATGAGGATATTTATTACTCATGGTCAACACGTATAGAAATAGTGAATTCAGGCTTCTAATGATCCACTTGATATTGAGATGAATAAAATTACTTCCTCTGATGGTCCCTACTTTCCCTGGTTTTTATTTGCAAGATCACCACATGGTACAAAATAAAAGCTGAAAATTCAGCCTTTTTGTTTACATTTCAAACAGCAAGAAAGAATAAGAGACAAGAGATACAGGTCTTTTCCCTTTAAGAATACTTATCAAAAATATTTTTGCATACTACCAGTAAGAATTTAATCACATAATCGTAACTACCAATAAGTGTCTGTGGGACATCCAATCTGTTTTTCATGCCTATGCATCTGACTAAGAATCATATTTACATTACTGAAGAAAGTGCACATATTTTCAAGACAAGCAATCTTTTAAACATTCTGATAGTAATTTCTAACACTATGATTTTCCATGTCATTTATAAGTTATATTAGAAATGACATCTTAATACATATATCACTTTATAAAGCCTTCAATGGCACATGATGGCCTAAGGGTGATCTGAATACTTACCAAGAATGTCTCCTATTTCTTTCAGACAACTCTTTTATGCTTCATCATCACTAATGATATTGATACTAGGGATGTTGTGTTCTCTGCCCTGTATCCCTGGAGAGCTTGCTCACTTAAAGCTAAGTAAAAAAAACAAAAAAAAAAAAAAAAACCACACACACACACACACACACACACACACACACACACATTCACACACATGTTCTACAAACTTAGAAAATGGCATAAAAGGATATTTTGGAAAATAATACAGAGAGGAATTTGGGTAAATTACAAAAGATCTGAATGTCACTTAAAAGGTTCAAGGATCTGAATAGCATAAAACTCATTCATAGTTTTAAAGATAATGTGCAAATGTATTCAAATTTCTGACTAAAAATGATTACCAACCTAAAATTCTGTACCCAGGAAAACTATAAATCAAATACGATGGTAAAATAAACACATAATCAGGCATGTACCACCTAATTTTTTTTTGTCTGACGTCTTAGGAACATACAGAGGGACTTACATTACCAAAATTAGGTTGTATACCAATAATGATGAGTTAATAACAACATTGATATTGGTTCATTACCTGTGACAAATGCATAATACTAATGTAAGATGTTTCACATATGCCCAGGCAGATCAGTGGAGTTGCCACCTTGTGTCATCTAACTGCCCACAGTAAAATTAAGAAGGAGAGGCAGGAGTTTAAATTAAAAAAAAAAAAAAAAATCAGAATCAGTATTCGAACATAAGTCAAGAAAACAGAAAGGTGATAGGAATTTCTGAATTTGAAATTTAAATTATTTCTCATTCCCACCTACTCAAGTTTTTCAAATAAAGGACTTCAGAGCAAAAATTAAACTCAGTGTATAAATATAAAATTATTGGTAAAGACCTGAGAAACAGCTAAAGAATTGCCTCAGAAAAGTGTTCAATTAGATAAAAGACTCACAAATGATTCTGTAGATGTGCCTCACACTTTTCATTAAACTTCAGGGCTTCTGAAACACTTAAGAAAGCTGTCTTTCATCAGCCTTGCAGGAATCCCAGAGCAGAAAGTTCCTATGTTTGAGAAAAAATTTAATGTGGCTTTCGTATAATAGAGTGGACTACCAATTGATTTATAGAGAATCCATGAAATTTTATAATTCTTTCAGCTTGAACTAAAAGAGACAGAGACAGTGCGAAATGGAAGAGAACTTTTGACCCTCCAACATCTAAAAGACAGCAGTGGGCTCACAAAATTACTCAGCTGGTGACCTCTGCCCAGCTGTGTTTCAGAATCACTAACAATTTCTGTCTCAGAGAGGCGTCCCATTTCCCCCTCTTTAGACTGAGAGTGGCTATAGTGATTATTCTATTGCTGTTCCAGCATTGTATTTGAGTTATGACAGTCAGAGAACTTCTCTCTTTAGTTCTAGGATTGTAAGACTGAGAATAAAACAAAATGCATGAAGTTTTACAAAAGGAACCATTTCTGAGGATCTGATTCTGATGAACGGCTCCTGGATCTCAAACATGAGGGTGATACAGTAGATGAAAGGTCAACACACTAGAGGCAGAAAGACAATTATTGCTAACATGGTTTTGTAAAGAAAGTATGTTAGCACAGATATGTATGCTCATTTACACATTGTCTGTGAGTGCTTTCAAGCTATCATGGCAGAGTTGAACAGTCTGGACAGATACTACATGTCCTACAATACTAAAAATGTTTATTGCTTCATAGAAGATTCTATAAGGATGTGTCCTAGCAAGTGGTAAAAGCATCTTTTTCTTTCTTTTCTTTTCTTTTTCTTTCTTTCTTCCTTTCTTTCTTTCTTTCTTTCTCTTTCTTTCTCTTTCTTTCTTTCTTTCTTTCTTTCTTTCTTCTTTCTTTCTTTCTTTCTTTTTCTTTCTTTTTCTTTCTTTCTCTCTCTCTTTCTTTTTCTTTCTTTCTTTCTCTCTCTCTCTTTCTTTTTCTTTCTTTCTTTTTCTTTTTCTTTCTTTTTTTTTGAGTTTAAATGCATTTTTTTCAGACAACCTACATGACATGTTTTCTTAAAAACAATGCCTCCACTCCAAATAAATCAAAGTCAAAATAAATAAAGAGCTCAAGATAACATCAGTCCCACTTGTCCTAGTCCTGGTGTTTAGATGAAAAGCAGCAGTCAGTTATGACGACAGTAAATACAAATTGCCAAATTTGTTAACATTCTTACTATCCTCAAGGTAGTCCAGCAGAGCAATCATGCCATGTTTTCACCAATAAAGAACTGGTAGTTTATGAACAGCAAGGTTGTGTACTCAGCAGCCTCTGTCATAAATAGCTTTGTTCCTGGTCTGTTCTTCAAGTTTTCTTTGACTGACTTCATGCAATCTTTGATATACTTCTTGTGGGCTTCTTTTGTGAAAATGGTTTCCTGCAAATGATGGTTCATGACAATACTGACACCAGTGATTACTGTGCTATGAGTACCTTCGCCCTTGGGGCCTTTGGTGGAGGCATTTCCACCAATGGGTCCATCATCAATGTTATTCTCTGTCCTATTGACCATCTACTTCTCCATCTCCAAGTCTCCTGCAGTCTCCCAGATCTTGTAAAGATGTCAGAGAATATCTCACCATGGCTGATGAAGTCCTGGTAGATGGTCACAATGGCACCTGAAGGATACTGTGGTGCTGGCTGAGCAGGAGCCCGTAGCTCAGAATAAGCACAGTGCTACGGGAGCCGTGCTGAGAGGGGGTGGGGAATGGTAAACATTATGTGGCCAGAGGTCAGAGAATAATGTTTTTAAAACATGTCTGAACCTTCTTTTTTTTTAAGTCAATTATTCAACAAATATTTGAAGATGATTTATCTCTCCTCAAAAATAGAGTTCAGTCTTAGTTTCTCATTTCTAATGAGTAGACCACAATAGAAGTAACAGTATCCAAAGCAAGGTCCTAAAAACAGTATAGAGTTTGATTGGCTTACTTTCTCTTAGGACACATACTTTTGGAACCCAATCAACATACTATGAGAAATCTAAGATTAGGTTATTGGGAGAGAAACACGGAGAAGCCCAAGTGGAGAGAAACTTTAAAACTGAAAGCCAGCAACAGCCACCAGACATCAATAGGGAAAAAATTTAGATGAATTCAGTCCCTTAGCAGAGAAAGTATGAGTATGGAGTCATGATCTTGGGACTTGTTTTTCTATATATCTCACCATTCAGAAATTTCCAACCTAACAGAATGATTTTATAAAGACTGAGTTAATGCGTCAGCTTAGGAAAACACTCTGTGAGTTGGGACATTTTCTCCAAGATGCTGTTTGTAAGCTGATATATAATGTTGTGCTACAAATAGCTAACATACGTGGCTCCAGGAAATAAGGGGCAGAAATAACATTGACGCCTCTCAGGATCACCACTCGAATGTGTGCTTCTGGTTCCCTCAACTTTTAGGTCTGCAAATGTGTCTAAGTATACATCTAGTAAATGAAATTGTAAGGATTACTATGGACTTAAAGCTATGAATAATTCCAAGTCATTTTGGTTCCTCATGGAAAAAAGCAAAAAAAAAAAAAAAGTATTCTACTAATACTCATATGGATCCTGATAAGCATGAAGGCTAAGATACTTTTATGCAATTGTAGTAAGTAGTAAATTCATTGTGGTACCTCTAGGTGCAGTAAATTCATTGTGGTACCTCTAGGTGCTTCCAGGTTTGTGATGATGATAAAAGACGAATATCAGTGATTATGGAGCATCACAAGTAGAATAACTAAGGGCTCAGATAAATATTCAAGTGGACCTATCAGCAAAGATTCTAGGCATGTCAGCTTCTTAGTTAAGAAAATCAAAATGTGCATTTAAGGTGGAAGAAGATGATTATCGATGACATTTCCAAGACAAACTATAGTAATCAGAACTCCTGCATGTACTATTAGATCTTTTTATTAGTTCCTTATAGAAATCATGCTTGAGAAGTAGCTTACTGGTGGGCAAAAGTTGATTTCAATGGTTCAAAGAATAGGATTGTATTGACTCCTATTATGTAACACTTTAAAATCCTCTTTGCTCTCCTCTCCTCCATCATATTAGGCAGAGTTGTACTGGCCACATCTTCTCTGCCACCATTGCTCTGTACCTCATGAATTCTGTTCTGGTGATTATCCTTAGACTGTAGAATGCTAGCAAGGAAATACTCTACATCAATGCATGCTTAACTCTAGAAATCAGGATTATTACCAACCATGTTGCTATTCTTGATGAACAAGAGTTTATGATGTATAAATTATCCCTTTTTAATCCTCCAGGCTAAGAATGTTGACATGTATTTCAAAACACACCTTATACTATTCTGATGGGATCAAGTGCCAGCCACCTATTGCAGTGGCTAAATCAATAATATATCCTAATTTAGACTTTTCCTCCTTCCATGATTCATTTGCTTTCCCCTTACATCTACTTCCTGAGATCAGCTTTCCCAAAAAAACTACCTGCATGCAAGCCTTTGTCTCAGACTCTGCCTTATGGAGAACCAAAGATAACCTTCCATTATTTTGTTTGACAACTCTTATTCATGATTATCTGTTCCTTCTCTTAGTTTTGTATAATTCTTATTTGGTTGATGATATTCTAATGCCATCCTGGGTGTAAGAGTGATAGATATATAGGCAGGTAAGTAGATAGATGTTAGATAGATAGATAGATAGATAGATAGATAGATAGATAGATAGATAGATAGATGATAGATAGATAGAGATAGATAGATAGACAGACAGACAGATAGATGGACGTAGAAATAAAGATATAAATGTATGGATAGATATTATGTGTGCAAAGATGCTCAATTGTCCTTATTTACACAGAAGTGTAAATGCTGTTTTATGCCACTTATTTTCAGACATATTCTGTATGAACTCCTTGTAGACAAGACAGTTTGTAATTAATCTTTGGATGACTCTGAACTTACATTAAAAAAAAAAAAAGTGATCGCTCCCCCACCCCCACAAAAAAATCAAGAGCAAAAAAATAAAAATAAAAAATAAAAGGTAATGTTCATAATTTAACATTTAGTCTGATTTGTCCTAGTTAATTCATTAATTTGCATTTTTGATAGGATGATTTCTTTTAAAAAAGAAGAATCCCAAATGTACAATATTTTGTTTTTTCTTATGTTCTTTTTCAGAAATGCTAACAGGGACACTAGCATCTTAGTAGGTATTTTATGTTTATGAAAAATAGACTTGGAAGACTTAGATTTTATTATTTTAATTTACACTAAAATACAATTAGAAAGAATGGTAGGTTTTACAAAGAAAGAGAAATTCTATGGATTGTAAAGAGATAAAGTATAATTGTAGTTTCTCAATTCTTTTAATTAACTTTATTCTAAATCTTTCATCTGCCTTTGTCATAGAAGTAATATTGTGAGAAGAAAGAAAGGCTCTGAACCTGACTGTTCTTATAGGAATCATACAAAAAGGGGAACTATACATGAGGTCATATTCTTAAGTAGATAAATGGCTTACTCAGATCAATGCATAAGAGATCTTCTTGTATATCATATGCTTTCATACATTTTTTTATACAGAGATAATGATTTAAATATTTGCATTAGGAAATAAATTTGAGAGTTAAGATGAATATGAAAACAGGAAAAACCTAAAAAATTCTTTTAGTTATACTGTTTATATTTGTCTTATATGATTTTAAACTTTTAACTTCAAAATTTCATTTTTTAAAATTTACATAAGTTTGGAAAAAATTTTTGTGGGAAAAAATTCACAAATAAAACCAATTTTTATGGTATTCAATTTTAAGTTTAACTCAACTAGGTTTAAACTATTTGATGGAAACTACGTTTTCAAAAACTAAAAGGCAAATTCATTTAGAATTAATGAACAGAAATTAATGTATGGAAATATATGTGCATGTATGGCAGAAAGGATCACGATGTGGCAGATGCATATCCAAAATTTGTCATATTTTTACATATTTTTATCTATTATTTCCATCGTATGTATCACCCCCATAGTCACAAACTCAGATACATTATATTAGCTGAAAACACAAAACAATATAAAAGATGAGTA